TCTCTCTCTCTCTCTCTCTCTCTCTCTCTCTCTCTCTCTCTCTCTCTCTCCCTCTCCCTCTCCTTTTCATTCATCTGAGCACATTTATTAAGTCCCCACTATTTGCCAGGCACTGAGCTGCTCACCGTGGCTTTCTCCATGTGGACACAGGGACCTATCATTTCAGTGGTGGGGATGGTTCCAGCAGTGCCGAGTTTCCCCAAATCATGTATTCTCTGGCTCCCCTAGAGCTGATTCAGCCAGATGTCCTGGTGCTGGCTCCGGACAGTCTCTCTTCAAACAAACTCTTGGGTCAGCTGGGCCTCTGGGCCCTCAGCACATGGTCCAACCTCCCAGCAATAATGGAGGGCACTTCCAGCATGGAAGCCAGCTTGAGTTATATCACGCAAGTCCCAGGGCTCTGACCAAAGCTTTCCCTTGAACCCCCTTTTCCCCGTCTCCCCCACTCCCATGGCCACCCCTTCCCAGCCTAGTAGCTGGGCCTACACCTGCCCCCTTCACTTCCTCATCTTCTACCACACCTCAAGTCTCTGTCCTGGCCCTGGTCACGAAGTAGCTCCCTTACCGGTCCTCCCCAGCATTCTGGCACTGTCACCATCCTGCTAGCATGACCACTGGCTGTGTCATGAAACCTAGCCTCCCAGGCTTCCAGGACACCATGCTGCTGTGGTTTTCCTCCTCCCTTCCCTACTGCTCCTCCTGGTCCCATTTAGATTCCTCCTCCTTCAGCTGTCCCTTACAAGTCCACATCCAAATAGCAAGTGAGGGCAAGGGAGGGGAGAAGTCGGACCCCTTATTCACTGCTGGTGGAAATGTAAGGTGGAAAAGTCTGGCGGTTCCCCAACAGTTAATCGTGGAGCTACCACATGACCCAGAAATTCCACTCACAGGTGTAGACCCAAAGAACTGAAAACGGGGACTCGAGGATGGTCCTCTCAAACAGGGGTTGTACATGAATGTTTACAGCAGCACTCTTCATCATAGCCAAAGAGTGGAAACAACCCAAATGTCCATCAATTAAGAAATGGTAAACAAATGTGGTCTCTCCATGCAATGCAGTATTTTTCAGCCCTATAGAGGATTGAAGCTCTGATGCATACTGCAACATGGATACACCCTGAAAACACCATGCTAAGTGAAAGACCACAAAGCATGTGATTCCATTTATATGAAAGGCCCAAATAGGCAAATCCACAGAGACAGAAAGCAGGTTAGTGTTTGCCAGGGGCTGGGGGGAGGGAACGGGAGTGACTGTTTAGTGGGTATGCAATTTCCTTTTGGCATGATGAAAAAGTTCTGGAATTTGATAGAGGTTGTGGTTGCACAACACTGTGAATGTATTAAATGTCCCTGAATTGTACACTTGAAAATGGTTAAATTGATGTTTTGTATATTTTGCCACTAAATGTCGGCATCCACTCCCTTTGTCCTTGACTCTATTGTCCTCCACGCTCTTATTCTACCTTCAGTATTCAGCTCAGGTGTTGTATCCTTGTGATGCTCTGCAAACTTGCTTCCCACCCCCACCACGCTAAGGTTCTCTTTCCTCTCTGCTCCCCCAGGACCCTCTGCTGCCAGTGCCTGGAATAAACCTGGAATACAGTAGGGTGCTCACTGCCTATTTGGCCAACCAATGACTGAACCAATGAATCTAGTCTCACCCCCTCATGTTCAGATGAGAAAAGTGAGGGCTAGTGAGGAGAAGGGATTTGCCCAAGGTCCCAGGGCTGGTCAGTGGCACAATAGAGACTGGAAACCTTGGTTCTAACACCCAAGGCAGGTGGCTTTCGTGTCGCGGCATGCTCCTTTCTTCCCACTTCTCAGCATCTTTTCTGGCCCACCTGCCCTCATTGGTTCCTATTTCTCATCCCTGGCTGCCCCTAGGGGCTTGACCCAGATGGCCGCTGGGGTCATTTGCAGTCCTGACGCTCTAGAGTTGGTGTTTTTTTCCCTCATGCTCACTCCACTTGCTACTAATGATTTCATGGAAGAGAAACCTGCAGGACCCAAAGGTCACTGATGAATGGAGTCTGGCACCACGATAGCCAAGCCATGCCCAACTCAATGCTTTTTTGGTGGGAAAAGCACTGTGAACAGGTGAAGCAGGGAGCCTAAGGGTATGTGCTGGTGTCCTAGCTGTTAGGAACTCAATGGCATCTCTGTGTCACAGGAGTGCTCCATTTTGTCCCCAATGGAGGGGACACCCTGCTGGGTCTCTGTGAAGTTCACACAGCCCAACTGTACCACCACAACTATACACTTCTACCCTGGCATGCAGAAAGGGCCTGGATATTGGGGCTCACAGAGAGGCCCCAGGAGCCAAACTATCTGACTTCACTGCTGCATTTCTTCTTCTCCACCCAGGTGTGCTCAGTCCCCATCGAAAGCACCTGGGCCTGAGGTCTGGGTGCCTGGGCTCCTTTGGGCAGCCCCTACCCATCTCTGTGCCACGAGGGAGTGGCGTGGCTTTCTGGGGTTCAGCTTACACCCTGGGGGAGGCACAGGGAGGCCAGCAACAGAGCAGAACTCAGGGTGGCCTCCCACTCTGGCCCCTGGACCGGGGTAGCGGAAGAACCTCTAGGGGGCATTGCTGAAGCACTGGGGCCCCTGTAACAGCAGATCTGAATTCCACCATTAGAGGTGCAGTCCTTTGAGTTGAATGTTGCCCTCTTCCCTCTCCCTGAAACTCTATAACAATATTTCTAACAATGCTTGGCATTTGTATAGCACTAGACACCCCTAATTCACATAATCATTGCACTGATGCCCGGCAGGGCAGAGCAGAGATTAGGAATCTGATTTTATCATTGCAGAAACCAAGGTCCAGAGAGGGTGATCGACTTACTCTAAGGAGCCTAGTGAGCCTACTACTCTTGACATTGGACTCATCTGTCTCTACTCCCTACAGTCCATGACTGGCTGTAACAGCCTTTTGTTACAATACAGGGGCAAGTAAACAATTAACTCCAAAACAAACCTTTGCTTGGGGGCTCAGAAGCCACATGGAAGACACTATAATTATAGTTTAGAGTTCAAACTGCAATTCATTCAGCCAGCCCACACACCTCTTTTTGAACACCTCCTGTGAGCGGGGCCCCAGGCGAGGTACTTGGGGGGTTGTGGGAGGCTAAATAATGCCCCCAAAGATACCCAGGTCCTCATTCCTGAAACCTGTGAGTGCTACTTTACGTAACGAATTGGAGTCTGCAGATGTAATTAGGTTAAGGATCTTGAGATGGGGAGAGTGTCTTGGATTATCCGAGGGACTCTCAGTGCAATCACACATAGCCTTATAAGAGGGAGATTTTATGACACGCACGCAGAAGATGAGGAGGCCATGTGAAGATGGAGGCAGAGATTGGAGTGATGAGGCCACAAGGCAAGGAATGCTAGCAGCCATGAGAAGCTGGAAGAGGACCACAGGGATTCTGGGAGGTCTCCATCTGCTTTTAACACACAATAAAACCAAAGCTGACCACTTCCCCTTGAGGTTGAGATCTGGATTTCCTATAACAGCTTTCTGGCCCTCCCGCTACACCTCCCACTCAGGTTTCAAGATCACAATAGTGTCCATGGGTTGTTCAAAGTCTCTATTAAGTTATCCCAAGGAAAGGGCAGCTGCCCCATGGAAGTGACATTGAGACATTGAGAAAATGAGATGCATATATTCCATCATTTTCCCTTCTTGGGCATTACCTATCGGGGAGCTCAAAGCCGAACTTGATGTTCAATGACAGCAACTGTCTTGCTATGGTTTACATTTTGCACTTTTCTTTTTCCATCATGAGTGGTTTTGATGTGCATGTGTCTTTATTAGCATAGCGGTTGCTTCAAGTCCTTTGGGGAAGTCGTGGGATATAAATCAGATTGTAATCATAGATTGCAATCATGGCCCCATGGAGATTGGAACTCAGGGTTTCTGCTTTCTAGGCCCAGAGCCCTTTTGCAGATTTGAGTCCAGGGGATCATCCAACTGAAGGCCAGGGGTTGCGTCTGGGCTCTAGCTGGGCCAGCACCTCCCAGTCACTGGAACCTGGGCACTCCCTCCCCTCTCTCACTCTCTGGCTTATGTGTCCAAGGGGCCCCTCCCTTTAGGTCCACTTCAGCCCGCCCGCTTCTGGCTGGGGCAAGGGGAGGAGGGGAGTCTAGGTGATGGGCCAGGCAGCTTGTGGGTGATGTGGGGAGAAGTTGGGCCTTGGGTTCTTTGCTCATCTCCCTGCCTGGGAAAAGGAGCATGCTGAGGCAGGGCCCAAAGCTACTCCAGCCAGGAGCTCAGAGCCCCCTGTGCAGCCCAGCAGCCATAGCAGAGGCTGCTGGTAGGTTAGTGATGAGGATAATGGTTCACAGCTTCCCATTTCTTACTATGTACTTGGTAATGTACTAAACAGTTTGCAGGCATGTGTTGGCTCTTTGGTGGTGTCTATTATTATACCCATTTTACAGATGAGGCCCCCGAGGCACAGAGAAGTTAGGTAACTTCTCCAAGATCAC